CTCCCACAAGATTTCTCACACAGGGGCCTGGTTGATTCAGTGAACAATGAAATTTGGTGAGCTGCAAAAATGTGTAGATAGAAAAGGACGGTTTTTGGTTTGAGCACATGCGCTACAAAATGCAGCATTTCGGAGTATGAAGCTTTAATCCACTTGCGAAGGTTTTGCAGCTGAGAGCATTGTGCGGNGAGAGCATTGTGTGGATAATGGGCAACTTTATACACACGCGCCTCTTATTCCGCAGCTTTACTGTGATTATTACAGCTAAGTGTGGGCTTTAGGGGGGAACTTACAATGGAAGACCAAATGCTGGTATCCTTTACGTGAACAGCAGTTTGTTGTGTAAGTGAATTGCATCAGTTTTTATTTACATAGGCCTACGCGCGAATTTGAAATAAGCTTCCGTGCGAATGCGAGTAAAGTATCGGATAAGGCACACACCGTTCAGCGAATGGCGACACTACTTTGGATGTGTTATTTCGTTTGTTACGTTTGGTTTAATTCTACTCTCATTCGTGACGCCGTACTGGCTCCAGTCGTGGTCAAGACTTCACACACCTTTTCTGAGGCTCGGTTTATGGGAGTTCTGTCTCAAAGGCTTCATGGAACGTGTTGATCAAGGGATGGTATCCTATTTCGACTGTTGGTGGATACTTTCTCCATATTATTCAAAGATATTCGCAGAGCTTGTTCCATGTAAGCCCTCACAATTTTTTACTGATTTTTCGACAGTCTGGTTCATCATTATACAAGTGCTTATGTCTGTTTCCCTGGCAATCCAGGTCGTGCTCTTCGTTCTTCTGATAGTTTATCTTTGCGAACGCATAAGACACGTGGAACGTCGAATTTTTTCCATCAATATGATGGCTGTTGGCCATGCGCTTACGGGTAAGTCTCTAGTCACCTTTTCATGCTATGGTTACGGAATTTGTTTTTTGCATTGCTTCAGATCATGATGCGTTTTCTTCCTTTATCTGCCGCTAGAATACCTGTCACTGGTCATCAGTGGAGTGATGGCAAATAGCTGGCAGCTAAACCGTCAGTCAGTCAGGAGTGGATAGCAGATTTCGTACCCTATGTGCTTTATTCGCTATGCGCTGAACTTGCTTGATGCTATATGCCCCAGAGCGGGTTCACTGAGATCAATGTTTGTCCAAATAGAGGGCACCTTTTCCCAATCTTCTTTTGTAACTACCAAGCGATCAATTAAAAACTTCTTTCAGTTCGAACACGCAACCTTACTGAACGAACTTACATGCGCCCACCATCCTCGTTAACAAAGTGACTATTTGTTCCAGTGACTGCTCACCACTTTTTCAAATTTGTAACTACTACAATGCTTGATTTTTTCATTCGCTAGAATGAAAGGCCCTTCAAGATGGCCACCAGGTCTACATGCAATGTTCTACGTGTATATTTTATCGGCCTCGTGTCGTCTACAGGCTAATAGCAGTAGGCTCATTGCAGTCGAACTGAATATAAGGTATACCGGACGCCTGAAATCAACTTTTAATCCAAGAATCTGAATAAGTACTAACTGTAGAATCTGCCGCATTGTCAGTGGGTATGTGGCAAGTTTTCCGCTATCTAAATTGGGTATGATATGCACACAGAGTAGGGAATGAGTTGCAGCACACATTGCTCGACTAGCGCGTCGTCCCCTCTTCCTAAGTCAGCCATAGTTCTGTGATTTAAAGTGATTATAGCACCATGGTCGGCTTTTACACTAGTCGCTGAAAATGTATCCCCATAAATCATACGACCATACTGCGTGGGGCTGCATGATCGAAAAGACTTATCGTTGTTGATGGGAGAGAATTCACTCTATCGGCCACTCGGTTAGTTATTACGGAAATCCGATCAGTTTTCCGCATCACTGGTTTCCATATCTTTAATTCATTCGCATAGAGAATGCATCTGAGGATGAGTTGCCGCGGGTGATTACATAGAGCGGTATAACGTGCTTAAAATTAGGACGATAGACCGGCTGTACCAATGCTCACCGATGCAATTCCGGCCGTGGGGCAGATTGTCCAACGGTATTTCTACGCATATTCTTGGTTTCAATTAGATCGTATTCGACTTCATTGAATCCACGGCTGATGAGCATTTGTGATCTGGCTGCTTACATTCCACTGACAAATACGGACGTATTTTTCGAAATTTTCTAGTCCTGCTTGAGTTTTCCTTATCCGGCTGTTCTAATCCGTTAGGTTGTACTGGAAGAACTGCCCACCGCAATTTGTTTCATCCTCTGTGTCATGGGAACAAGCATCCTTGTGCAACCACCGCCTAGTAAGACACTGTTGACTTATACTTCCGCCGCTTTATTATTCTAAGTAGCGTGCGTCAATTGCTGCATGCCATGTGTCTGCCGCAATATAAAACCTTCTAATTTAGCTTTATTTGATGTTCCAAAAGCCTTTATGGCTTCGAATCTATCCATGCCGAACTGTTCCGATAGTACCTGATAGTGGGTCACTTCCAGACAGTCGTACATAGAAACTTTTTAGCCATAGTACATCAACAGAGTGGAAGGAAATCATCCGTTTCTTCTAGGAGCTTGCGGTAAGGCATTTTGACGGTATTTCTTTTTGGGAGGTAATAAAAACCTACAGGCTAGTCTATGCTTCACATCATTTGGCAAATTAATGAGCTATAAGGACAATTTTCTGCTTCTCTGAAAGACGTGAGAAGAATGGGTTTAAGTTGGGAATGACAGTATAGAATTGGACAAACTCTACCCACGACCTCCTGGCGGGTTCGAGACTCTTCGTGAAATGTGAACTGCTGATGATCCCCAATAAGGATGAAACAGCTGTACAGTGTTTCTCGGCTTTTCAGCACAGATTGCCTTCACTTACAAAACGAAATCTTCACATAGGTGGCCAAGTTGCTCTGCTTGATCGTTGGTCTGTTCACCGAGCCAAATCATAGAGGAACAATCACACACACAACTGTCGAATTGAATGCACCCAACGAATCAGTCAGACATAGGAGATTGACACCAACTCGGATTCACATTGGACCAATCAAACTACGCAAAGACCGCCGTCAGAGCTACCAAATGCTGTTCAGAAGCTAGATGAGCACAGAGGGAAGAGCAGGAATTCACCCAATCAACCCCGCACTGACGATGTCCCTTCAATGTGCGATGGAACGTTTAAAATCCAACTGCCAATCCGGTGTACCGACCAACAACCAATACCGTTTTGTTTCAATATCTGGATATGTTCTCCTGAGCAAGAGCGAATGTACAATTGTGTTCTTTTGAAGACGCATATAGGTCATGACCAATCTTTTCAAATGTCTTCCCTATAGTACGAAAGTTTTGCAAAGTTAACTCAACTTTTAAAACCAAAAGGACTCATTAAAAATGGTCGGTTAGAGTACTTTTAAGAAGGACGGATTAACGAGCAACCATATATGGGTGATCTAATCTGGAAGGGCAACCTTACGAAGGGGAAAACGGAAGTAACTGGGTGCTACAAAGAAGAGGAATGCGTTATGGCCCACTTGTCGTTTCGAGATGGAAGAAAGCAATGTGCACTTATTCCATACTCCAGTATCCTTAGGCGTTTTGTTCCACGGGAACAGTGGGAGTGGTCTTTGTATGGACGTGATATTTAAAGAGGTGTAAACTACGTTAGATCAAAGTGGAGCAGTCACAATTATCTTGGTTGGTGTCTTTTCAAGGACACTTACGGAATACTTGAATAGTTATAATTAAATGGAATCTACCGTGTTTCAACACGCCCACAACTTCAAGTTAGATGCTCTAGTGCTATGGGCGACACTTGGCGTGCATCTTAGTTTACTGTGATGAATGTGCCAATAAGGGTTCAGTGTATGCAGCCGCATTCTTCGTGATTGGCGCTACTTCTTTCATGGGCCTTGAAAATACCCTTGTAAATGCAGTGTCTCAGTTCAATAGCAAACAGCTACCAGCAGCTGATGCATTTGGGTGTGTGTTATACTTGATGACACGCAGTGATCAGATGGGTCCGATTAGATTATTTAAACACAATGATGGTAGGGTGGTCAGATACTCACTTGACAACATTTTGCGTTGTTGTAAATTATCCATTCATGCCCTACAGCTACAAGTTCACTGAGCAGCAAAACTCATCTCATGATAATTGCTGCAGTTGATAATGCCTAAGATTCCAGGACCTTATTTTGGATTTATTAAAATAGGCCTCAGAACGACCGCAACGCAGACAACCACCAGTGTGCGGATTTACGGACCAGAATCGTAGGGGTTATATATTCAAAGGTGATGGTCGCTATTCGTAAAGGCCACTTGTGAGTGCCACTTGTGTATGCATTTTCTAATATGCCCTTCAGCACCATTCCTGACTCATATTCAACATGCTGGGAGATAATGTCTTTTACAGCAAACCAGACAGAGGAGCAAGAAAGTTTGAGAACCAGTTTCCTAGAGAAAATTCAAAAAATATGTAGACAATGTGAATATTTCATGTGGGTCACCTCCATATACTACTGCGTCTATCACGTTAGTTTCAGCGTTTTTTGCATGTACGTTATCCGTTTCCCACTTTTCAGTAGGGCACTAGAACGCATCTTTACTTATTGGCTCGGTCCCAGATGAGGGGCATCATTCGGGGAGGGGGCTAAACTATTCTTAGAGGGTTCATTTTGAGGAACTGCAGCAGTGTCAAGGTTTACCTCTCTGAAAAACTCAAATATTCTGTTAGGAGACATGTGTATATTGCAGCTTGTCATATTCACCATAATTTACGGGAATGAAGAACACAAGTTTTGCTCAATGGTCTTCGTTGACTCGTAGGACGGTATTAAGATGATACCATTTCGGAACGGTCTCAACTGGGGAAGGCAACTGTTTTCCCAAATAAACCGGACTTGAAGTTGAATATGAGTAGTGTGAGTTACCATGATCACTTATGATTCGCGCATTTCTCTTTCATCCCTCCCAAAACTATCCAGCTTGTGCGCTCTTCCCAGCTCTAGTGGTGTTTGGTGTTAACTGGAAGAACCCTAACTGGATGCCCTATCCAAAATTTAACTGGCCCTCTTGGTCCTACGGTGCGGCTATTCTGGCCAATTTCAGTTCCTTGTGTGGAGCTTTGTGCTTCGGCTTGGTTAGTCGGGAGCTCCGTCGAGATTTGGAAGAGTACACCATGGAGTTTCCAATGTCCACTAAACTCAAGCACCGAAGACGCTGGTGGCTCAGAAAACGTCGGTGGTCTCAAGACGTCGAGGCTCCGGGTTCAAAACCACACTATGAGTTTGAAAAACGACTAACGCCTACGCCGAGACCGGACGAGATGATATCGATGAGTGAATTCAGTCAAAGTCACGCACAATCTGTTTCACAACAAGATAATTCACTTGGATCGCCTGAAAGCGACTCACAACCGCGAAGTTTCGAGTCACCCTCATCTAGTATGCGAGAACATCGCCCGTTGGTTGGTCAGCGGTATGGATCCGATATCTAACGATTCACGGAAACACAACCAAACACCGGAGTGTAACTTTCCTTCCAAATGCTTTGTACCGTACTTTTAATTCATCGCACAATTATCAAATAATAAACTGTCACTAATCAATAGACCCGTCAATACGTGAACCTAGACTGTATGATTGGAGGATAAAGGCCCAGTTTTTTTGGTGAATTTTAAACAAACCACCAATCAGTTACTACTGATCAAGCGGTGTAAACTTCAACTGCTAATCGGCAAGTCGTGAAGTTGAAATCGCCCCAGAGGTTTGTGACATGCGACCCGCTGACGACTCAACACGGACGAAACAGTGGTGAAGTGCATCACGGCATTTCAGTCGAAACGCAAACTCTCCCAAGTGAGCAGATCTGTGTTACTCCGGCCATAGCTTCTACGGCAGTTATGTGGCTGGCTTTGCTGTGGTTCGGATTGTTGATCTGTTTGACCAGCTTGGCGGGTGAATTGCATGCCAAATTTCAAACAACCAGTTATCTGACTTTTCCTACCGGCCATTCATTCGCGACCAGGCCGGATGGAAAATGAGCTTGGACGCTCTCACGAAAACAAATTGAGCATAGTAACCGTAGAAGTTTAATGAACTGCTTCAAGTAAATAAACAAATGGATTGATATACGGCAGATCAGAGTTTATTGAGTGTGCAAGCGATAAACGTAAGGGAAACGAGGCGGGAAGGATTCATCTATATGCAACCAAACTAATACGACCGGAAATATCACAAAATTTTGGGACAGGACCAGACCGAGACGTCGTGTAGGAGCAGGCGGAAGTGCCGANGAAAGGCTATCAGTTCAAGGATTGTGTGGGCGCAAATGGCATTGGTTGACAAACTCTGAAGATTTCTGGTTGTAGCAATGCAGATTTCAAGTGGCATTGGTCCACAGTCATGAGCTAGCAACCGGAAACAAACGCCGTTCTTCTTTTCAAATCATCAGGAGCGATTCGGCAGCTGAGTATACACATACGCTGCGTGCGGAACAGAGGCAACCGATGCATCACAAGTGGGGACGGGAGAAGGTTTCAAAATAGTAAGAATATTTTTGACTGACTGAAAACAACAGTGGTGATAATGACAGAAGTCGTAGGAAGGTCCGTATGGCAATCGTACGCAAGTGAAGAGCGATGAACTATCTCCAGCGCTGATAAGTAGTGTGTGAGCAGCATCAACGTAAAACACTACCCGGAAGGAGTAAGGTTCATTCTAGCAAAATGCTGCTCTACTGATGATAAGGAATTGACATCAATGGACCCAAACGGACCGAGGCAAGATGCTCTAAGTAGAGCCTAAAGAAAAACAATCGTTTTACAATAGAGAGGGGATAAAGTGGCTTGTTTTATGGGCCGTGTGAAACCGCGCAACGGCCACCAGTCACGTGTCTCCATAAGTTGATATCTATGTGATTAGTAGTTCTGTTCAAACGTCACAATTACAGTGATAAATCTAGCAAAATTTTCATCTAGTAGATGACAGTGGTAGAACTAGTGAGAGGAGCAGTGGTGGTCAAAGTACGAAACAGGTTGAACGGGGTGGATGCTACAAAAATAACAGTAGAAAAAGAAACAAACAGATGGCGCGATTCGAATGAGCACTCTTGATTTGGTAGAGAGTCAGGTAACGGAGGCGATCAGCTATTGATGAGTGGAGGGCCATGCACACGCATAGNTGAACTGCTTCAAGTAAATAAACAAATGGATTGATATACGGCAGATCAGAGTTTATTGAGTGTGCAAGCGATAAACGTAAGGGAAACGAGGCGGGAAGGATTCATCTATATGCAACCAAACTAATACGACCGGAAATATCACAAAATTTTGGGACAGGACCAGACCGAGACGTCGTGTAGGAGCAGGCGGAAGTGCCGAAAGGCTATCCAGTTCAAGGATTGTGTGGGCGCAAATGGCATTGGTTGACAAACTCTGAAGATTTCTGGTTGTAGCAATGCAGATTTCAAGTGGCATTGGTCCACAGTCATGAGCTAGCAACCGGAAACAAACGCCGTTCTTCTTTTCAAATCATCAGGAGCGATTCGGCAGCTGAGTATACACATACGCTGCGTGCGGAACAGAGGCAACCGATGCATCACAAGTGGGGACGGGAGAAGGTTTCAAAATAGTAAGAATATTTTTGACTGTATTAAAACAACAGTGGTGATAATGACAGAAGTCGTAGGAAGGTCCGTATGGCAATCGTACGCAAGTGAAGAGCGATGAACTATCTCCAGCGCTGATAAGTAGTGTGTGAGCAGCATCAACGTAAAACACTACCCGGAAGGAGTAAGGTTCATTCTAGCAAAATGCTGCTCTACTGATGATAAGGAATTGACATCAATGGACCCAAACGGACCGAGGCAAGATGCTCTAAGTAGAGCCTAAAGAAAAACAATCGTTTTACAATAGAGAGGGGATAAAGTGGCTTGTTTTATGGGCCGTGTGAAACCGCGCAACGGCCACCAGTCACGTGTCTCCATAAGTTGATATCTATGTGATTAGTAGTTCTGTTCAAACGTCACAATTACAGTGATAAATCTAGCAAAATTTTCATCTAGTAGATGACAGTGGTAGAACTAGTGAGAGGAGCAGTGGTGGTCAAAGTACGAAACAGGTTGAACGGGGTGGATGCTACAAAAATAACAGTAGAAAAAGAAACAAACAGATGGCGCGATTCGAATGAGCACTCTTGGTTTTGTAGAGAGTCAGGTAACGGAGGCGATCAGCTATTGATGAGTGGAGGGCCATGCACACGCATAGTTGTGTGTGTGTGGACCGCATTCAAGGGAGCAATACATAAATGCTGCCCCTTCAAAGTGTGTTCTATCCATATCTAGTTGTGGGTAATGTTGCGATGTGTTGTCTCTGGTGAGCCGTGCGTTGATGGCGGATTGATGGTGATTTGAGGCATAGACAAAATGTGGCTAGAATCGACAGCACCATGTCCCGGACTGTCATTCCCAGCATCCCAAGGGGCATTTGGTGTGCTTCGCTCAGCCAATGGATCCATGGAAAGTGGTCGACCCAAAGGGTCAATCGAGAACAATACTGGCTTGGTCTTGACTTCAGCGCCATCATCTACTGACTCCTGATCAACCCCCAGAATCTTGGGATTGGGCCCATCGGCATTCACACTGTCGCGCGTCTTCCGGCGACGACCTCGCTTGCCAGAATCCTTTGATTTCGTTTTTCTAAAATAAGCGGGGGAACAGATCAAACAGCGTGTCCCAACAAAACTCAGAAGAAATTGTTTTTTGGTCTATAAGTCATAAATCCAAGCAACCAGTGCGTAATAATGTTGAATATTTCCGTGAGTTGAGTAGGCGAAAGTGAATCCAGTTTGTATCTTCAGGTTATTTCACCTTTGAACTCCTTCATATGGGGTTTTAGACAAAACCGTGTTTTACTACTATTCGCAGAACACCGTTACGGCTCATGGTCCTACGTAGAGCGCCCGAGAAAAGGATCTTAGTGGCAGTTTTTGAGAGAACCGGTACGGTGTTTGTGTCGGCTGGAACCGGGGCATTCCCTTAGACAGCAGAGATCGCCAGTTTGAGCGAAATATACTTTTTCTATTTGAAACGGCTTCCGTCGGGGAATTCGCCCATCTTTTTGCTCACTAGTATTCGTACTTTACAAAAGCAGTCGAATACCTGTTCCAGTGAACTTTTGTGAACGTAACACAGCATGAGTATGACGTTCATTTGTGACCTGTGTTTCAGTTCGAGCCCATTTACTTGTTGACCTATGTCCAGCTTTGACCTACCTTGCCAAGTCTGTTAGATTTCTGCGACCACTCGTGATAAGAGTGTCCTTGCATGGAACGTGTAGTGGACGATGTTCAAACGAAGAACCGTTTCATTCAGGAATTTGATAACTTCTACCGGTCACAAAGCCACATAGTTGCGGGCACTTTTCAGTAAGCAGACGGTCATAAGTCCTATTTTTCCAAAGGTCGGCAACGTTGTTATCTGACAAACTCAATATTACTTCTGTTAACTCAGGAGATGTCAGTGATAAATGTCGAAGGAAAAGCTCTAGTCCGGTCTGAATCCCTTGTTGTTGTTTTTAAAGACGCCTGACCTAGAACGCTTGTTGTTGTTTTAAAGACGCCTGACCTAGAACAGTTGCAAACAGCCGTGGCATAAACAGGCGCCGTACAAAGGGCTATAACCCATCGTTTGGGGGTCGAATCGAAACCCATCATAACAAAGCATTCGCTTTTTAGCCTCTGAAATCAACATATGGCTAGCGACGTGGATGGCAATCATTTGTGATACCATAAGCATCACATTATGAATGAATTAAACCTGGACTCCGTGTGTATATCTTAATAATCAACGTACATTCAGAAGGTTTCTCTTTGACTGTGACGTCCTTCACACCGATCAAACTGGCCATCTGTTACGCATACGCAAGTGATACAAAACAAGATCGACTGTTCGCAACGAAGTCAAGGGTGACTCAGAAGTCAGTCCACGCGTGTAGCTGATCAACACAGCTTACCTTAACTGGTCAAACCTATGACCACAAGGCCCGAAAAATAACGCAGAACGGCTTTGCACGGAGGCTACCGCTAAAGCTGACCACAGTGACTCTCTCAGACGAAACGACTGCGCTAACTTCCTCCTCTATGGATGGGGGTGATCCACCAAAGGTCAGGACAGAGATGAGGTAGCTCAACAGCTGCCAGGTATAACATATTTTGCACATCTGGAGAATTTGTTCATCGTAAATATATTCTCAGCTCGTCAAGTCATAAACTTTTCCACAGACAGATGCTATCATACCGACAAGGCTGACCCGACGTGAGGCCTGATACGATCATCCAGTTGATAGATATTTTATCAGAGGACTATTTCTAGACATGCAAAAAGTTCACCAAAAACAGGTATATTTTTTCAGAACCCCACTCGTGAAACACTCATATGGTGCATAATCCCATCAAACTATCCGGACCATTCGCAGCCAGACTCTCATTCACTCGGATCCGACCCTCGAAGTGATCTGCTGCCTTTATTAATTTCCACCTGTTGATAGAATGGCAATAACCAACAAACATCCGTCAACTACCTGTTTCTGATTGGATAAGATAACCTTGCAGTGAATGAGTTCCTGTCCTTCCGGGTAGCTACTGGCGATAACTGCACATCATGTCGTCAGCTACTCAACTTGGTTAACGAACAAGCTGTTAAAGATCCATTTACAGTAACGGTCACTAGAGAGATTCCGATGTAAATTAAATTCTCTGTATACGAACAATCCTTTTGACCAAAAACCAGGTAGAAAGACTGAATCGTGGGCTCAAATGACTACTGGATGCTCCAAAACAAAACTA